ATCAAATAAACATGTGGAAATGGAAATAGATTTTGTGTTGATGATTTTTGACAAATAGTTTGTAAGGGATCTGTAAACAATTTTATTTTCTGCTGTCTATAGCTTACACTGAAATTTTTCTTCATTGAAAATAACTTGGGAGTCATTCTGATTTTATCAGGAATTCAGGGTATGAGCCATTGATTTGAGTATATCTTGCTTATGTGAAGAATGCAAACACATATAGGTTATATAACAAAAACCTTATCTCATACAATACTGTATATATGTTTTCAGGTTACAGAGAAACAACATTAATATTTTGCTCAGGAAGAGCACATTTTATAATGATTATTTCCTCAGGATGAGAGCAGTGATGAAAAGAGGAATTATGTTTTCATGTAGTGAGCTTTTGACATTTTGGCAGACAAAACCAATTGAAAAATAACTGTAAAGAGCATGCAAACATATGTTTGCAAATGAGAAGAGGCCATTTGGATCATCTAGCTCGTTTGTCAGCCAGTAGCTAATTAAAACCCAGGAACTCATCTAGCCTTATCTTGAAAAAAGTCAGGGCATCAGCTTCAACAACATGGCTGAGTAGCATGTTGCAGAATAAACTGTCCCAGACTTGCTCCAGTGTAGTAAAGGGCCTTGTGTTTTCAGTTTTAGACGCACTTAGTTTCCCCTTGGTCCACGGAGTTGATTCTGTTAGTGTCTTTGAGGATTCTGAGTACTTGGATCAGGTCGTCATTTAGTCTTCTCTGTTGAAAAGTAAAAATAGCAGGTGTGTGGGGAGCGATCTGGCTCAGTATAGCTGCCGTCGCATCATCCAGGTGGGCCTGCACACTGGTGGTGGTGGAGGGGATTCTCATTACCTTTAAAGCTCTTTGAGTGGAGTCTCCAGAAAAGCGTTATATAAGTGTAATGAATTATTATGAATTGTTATTATTAAAACTAAAATTATTGAATTCCTCCAGGCTTTCAGAATAGGATATTCCTTTACAGCAAGAAGTAGTGTGTGGAAGAGCCTGAAGGGTATCATATAGTTACAGCAGCTGCTCTTGGGTCCTGGGTTCTACTCTGGCCTGGGTCACCTTTTTTGTGGGGTGTTCTCCCCTTTACTCATGGGGGTTTTCTCAAGGTGGTCTAGTTTCCTTCCAGATACACGCTGGCTGTTTCAATCAAAGTTTCAAACTGATCGCTCCTGTGCGCGCACCTTCCAGACGTGCCTTGTAGTTCTCCTTGCCCCTACTGGGTGTAAGTTCAGGACCCTATGCAGACGATATAATCCGGAAGTAAGTGGAGAAGGACATCTGGGGGAGGAGATGAAGATGATCAGGACGGGTTGACAGACAGAGGGACGTGGTGATGGTGATCCAGTGCTCGGGGGGCGTGGTGATGGCAAAAGGTTCAGGGAAGTCCAAAGGGAGGAATCAGGGGTGCAGTCCAAAGTCCAAAACCAGGGGATCCATCCAGGACAAAACAAACACAGTTACAAT